AATAATAATAATAATAATAATAATAATAATAATAATAGCAACAGCAGCAACAACAATAATAATAGTGATAATAACAATAATAATAACAACAACAACAATAATAATAATAATAATAATAATGATAATGATAATAATAATAATGATAACAATAATAATGATAATGTTAATAGTTATAGTATTAATGATAGCAATAATAATAATATTATTAATAATAATTACGACAAAGGTAATGATAATAGAAATAATCAGTGATGATGATAAAAACAATAATAACATTGATGATAGTAAAATTTAATTAAAGATTATAATAAAATACAAGTAAGTAAGCCTAATAATGATAATAATAATAAGATTAATAGTAATGATAATGGTACTACTACTACTACTACTACTACTACTACTAATAACAATAATAATAATAATAATAATAACAATGACAATAACAGCAATAATAATGATATTGCTAACAACAAGGAAAATAATGATGATGTAATGATAATAATAATGATGTTAACAGTAATAATAGTAATAATGATAATAACAATAATAATAATAGTAATAATAATAATAATGATAAAAATAATAGTAGTGATAATAATAACAATAACAATAATAATAAAAAGAACAGTACTATTAATGACATCATTAATGCCACACGCTCTGCTGGCAATGCTGAGACGGGCAGCAACAGGATCGCGACGCGACTCCCTCGGGGCTGAGCGGTAAAGAGTCTCGTCAGCATCAACGCTGTTCCTTTCACAGATGTCTATTTTGACAATCGTAATCCGGATATATATAAAAGCAGATAATTCCTCTGAGTAGACATCAAACTCATTAAAGTGTCAGCTAACGAATGTCTCTAAGGATGAAAATAGAAAAAAAGAGAGAAAAAGAAAAGAAAAAAGGTTTTACGCGTTCCTAAAGTTCGATTTGTCAGATGAACGATGATCACTATTATTTTCCACAAGTAATCTTTAGACTTTATTTGTTGTGTTTATGTCTCTTTGTGAGTAAGTACAATAGGCAATTAGGCCGCCTTTCGGTTGGTATTAGTTAACACTAGTATGATGACCTCTATTTTATAAATCAATTTCTTCTGAAAAGTGGAAGCGATTTGATGCTCGTACGCGAGGAGGCGAACTGTCGCCGTGAGTGGCCGTAACAGAAAACTTGATCCTTCTTTTTGGCGGGTCAGCTATCATTTCCTTCCGTTTAAACTTGGAGAAGGCAGCTTATTATCATCTCCTTTCCCTTTTTTTATTTTACGATAACTCATCTCCTTGTCAGACCCCAGGAACCATGGTGGTGAGCCAGAGATATCACACTGGGGATATAGTTTTGATTGCATAAGTCGCTCTTAACTTCACCTTAAATCTAGGTTTTACAGTTGTTTCTACATCACCATTGGACTTGGAGAATGGTCTCAGGCAATTCCCTCAATGAAGAATAGGTTTTATAGTTTCTAAAATAAAAGAAATAGGAGTAACAGTCTGGTCCATCGCCCAGATTTCAGGACAATTAATAAGCAAATAATCCAGTTAATAGAAGCGTGCACAGAAAACCCCGTTAACGCCTAAAACACACCACTTTACGCACTATTGCATTTGCCAATGGACGCATCCCCTCCGCCTCCTCCCCCTCCCCCCTGTGCAATCTGATGGACGCGCACACTCGAACGCAACCACCCCACACAAACATCATTTTGAACCCGGAGTTTATGGCTTCGAAACGACCGGTTCTATTTACAACTTTCCCTGCTCCTACGGCCGACTCAGCGATTTTGCCTTCTACTTTACTCGTAAGTGGAGCGTTTTTGACATTTAATTAGACTAGCTTGCTGATAGGGATTATCGTGAAGGAAGAGGAGGGAGGGAGGGATGATGGTGGGAAGGGGGGAGAGTGATTGATGATGGGAGAGGGGAGAGGAAGGGAGAGAAGTAGGGGAGTTACGAGAGTAGGAGGGAGGCAGGAAGGAAGAATGAAGGGAAAAGGAGGGGGGGGGGGGAGAAAGGAGCGAAGGAGAAAGACTTGGTGATTGGGATTGGAATTGATAGGATCAGCCGTACGTTCTTAACTACGTCCTTGCCTCTTCCTCCTCTCCCCGCCACTCTCTCCCTCTCTCTGCCCCCGCTCTCTCTCTCTCTCTCTCTCTCTCTCTCTCTCTCTCTCTCTCTCTCTCTCTCTCTCTCTCTCTCTCTCTCTCTCTCTCTCTCTCTCTCTCTCTCTCTCTCTCTCCCTTTCTCTCTGTGTGTGTTGCCCTTCTCTCTCTCTCTCTCCCTCTCCCCCCCGCTCTCTCTCTCTCTCTCTCTCTCTCTCTCTCTCTCTCTCTCTCTCTTTCTCTCTCTCTCTACCTTTCTCTCTGTGTGTGTTGTCCTTCTCTCTCTCTCCCTTTCTCTGTGTGTATGTTCCCCTTCTCTCTCTCTCTCTCTCTCTCTCTCTCTCTCTCTCTCTCTCTCTCTCTCTCTCTTCCTCTCTTTCTTTCTCCAATGATAATAATAAT